GCTGATTATAATTAATTCCCACTCACCTGAGTTTCTTGTAACGGCGTATTGAAATATTTATTAGCATCCCATGCTGCTAATTTGCCATCCAAGCCACCACTTAACAGAGACCCATTCTCTAATAATCGTAAGCTTAAAATGCTTTTCTGTTGAGAAATAATACCAGCATGTTGACATTCTGTTTTAACAAATGAATAATTACCTGTTATGTCCTCTAATAAATACAATCAAGACATATAATTGACACTGTCCTGGTGTCTTTAACATATTGTTCAGTGGACAGGGAACAAAATAAGCTAGGGATAGGAGGGATATCAGAAGTAATAGAAGAAAGAAACGGAATCAGCAATATAGGGAAGGAAGGACAACTTGCTCAGTCTGTGTTGATGTATTTATCAAATTCTCAGATCTACATGTACCACAAAAGACATAAAACAGTAAGGGGAATTTGGATTTAGAGCTCATGACTACAGGTATGAATTTATCAACAGATCCATCTTACAGCTTGTACCTCATGTGCATTCCTTACAACAAACTTGATCTTCTTTGATACTGAAATGCAAAAGAAAATAAAAGTTGGTCAAGAATGATCCCATTTGTCATTAAGAACACAGCTGATTGTCAACAACATTGCAGTTACATGTACCTTTTCCCCAAACTGTGATTGAGCCATTTGAATCACCAGTGATGACATCTCCATTAGGAGAAAACTCTAAGCACGTGAAATATTGTGGGATCTCATATTTCTATCAAAATAAGAAGGAAAAAACCGCAATGTTTGTTATTGTTAATAATAAAATGCAGTAATATGGTTGAGTGGTCTGACAATTCAGCTATGTTAATTTTCATTAGCCCATACACCTGTACAGCCACTGTAAGGTACTGTTAAGCAGTGTCTTTTGTTTTGAAAAAAATCACAACAAAAGGCACTAATTAATACAAATCTGAAATAACTACATCTGCATATATTGCTTTTACGCCTGGAGGGAAAACCAGGTTTACCCTCAAAGTATCTCTCTCCAGCCAGGACTGGCAAACTGTTAATAAGACCAACCCAAGAAAATGCTAGCAGATAGCTAGAGGGTCGTACAGGGGGGTCTCTGGCACGGTTCACGAACGGAAAAAATAGAGGATCACAGATAAAGGATATAAAAATTTTGTTTACCTGAATCATGAAAATAAGCAAGCAAGATACTCTTTTTAATAACCTGTTCTTACACTAGAAAGAGTGTTTGAAGAAAGAAAAATCGTAAAAGGCTAAGT